AGGGAAAGTTACATCTTTACACAAAGAGAGAAGCCGTGGGCACTCGTTCCCTTTTAATAAAGTTAAGGTCGCAGGAAAATGTGGGCTGATGTCCTCTATGGTTAATGCATGATTAATGCATGCTTAAGGAGTAGGCTAGTGCATCCACCACAGCAAAGTAAACCCCATAGAGCAGGCTTGTTCAGTCTTTTCAATATGAATGACCAAATATATTTCAGGAACCCAAGGGACCACAATCAGTCTGAAGCAGATTGTCTGCCTTCTACAGAGTGGAAATTACCCGCATGCTCTCTGCAGGGGATTCCCCCAGTGAAATGGAAGTCCCCTGCAGCAATAAGTCAGACTAGTCATGTTTTGCACTTCTTTCCTGAAGATCCTGGCTGAAGAGCCTGATTTGGGCTGCACTTGGAAGGGATAAAGGGGAATGTCTGCAGTTTGATAAACCTAAATTATCCCTTCTGCTTTGTAGAACCTTATACCCAACTAGTGCCAATACAGCAGCTGCCAGGGGCTAGGTCCAAGTACAAACAGGAAGAAAAAACCCAAACATCTTTTGTCTCCTCCTTGGTGGTAACTGTTGCAGGAAATAAATGACATCTTTTGCCTATAGGTGTATGCAGAACCTGACAAACTCCAGTCTGCTCTTACCTAAGCTCCTTCTGCAGAACCTCAGGGACCAGGCAACAGAATAGCTAGTGCTCATCTTCCTCACCTACTCTAAATGAAGCAGGCAAGCAGTGGAAGCAGCAACTTCAGGGAAGGGACAGGCACTCTTAATCACACTGGAACTGTTCCTGAGGCTGCAAAATCATGGGGAGGCAGTGGGAAGGACGCAGGTGAGGCATACACTTCAAGCTGCAAGGCACAACACAGGAACACGTCTACTTCCTAAGTAAGCAGACTGAGTATCCTTACCAGAGTTCAGAGCCCTGAGCAGCACAAGTGGGCTCTTGGACATCTTAATCTTATCATAATGAATGTTTTAAGGAACTTTTCTTAACCTTATAACCAAGTTCAGAGCCTGCCTACCTACCTATACTTCTTACTAGTTTAATCCAAGTAGACCCTTATTTTGACCAACTCTGCATCTTACGTAACCTTTTCTACCTCTGCAAAGTAGATGCTTCTTGCATTTTACAGTTCATTTGGAAAAGTGGAAAGTAATTAGAGAATCCAGCACACAGCTTGTCTTTGAAATGTTTGTCTTGATTTCCTGTGTTTGGCAGAGTTCTTTGAACTGCAGCCCACGGCCTAGCTGACGACTAGGCCCACAAAGACAATTTGGTATCTCTGCTGTAATTTCTAACTTTTGATGCTGTATTGGCTAGCCAAGTTCACAATTCTCAGGAAAGGCCATACATTTCAAGTGAAATATGTTAGTCAAGCTAGGTATTTAGACAGCGGATGTCCACAAATATTTGGCTGAGTAGTGAGCCACTTAACCTAGTCATTAGGAAGTAGCAAGGAGACAGATGGCACCGGCACAGTGTCTTCCACAAATATAAGTACCTGTCTCTGGTTGGGGCTTCTAGCTACGGGGTTCCTAGATCCATCTTCTGGATCTAGTAGAAGACCTTTGCCTGTTCAATCTTCTGGTGATGGAAGCATCACTGAGAATGTGGGAAATTGATTTAATTCTGTCTGCTGACTGAAGGACAAAACTACACAGTTTCTAACTCCCAGAAGTGTGTCCTAACCACTACAGCATTTTGGAGCTTGGCTTATTTGTTCTCTCTCATTGCATCTCTTCTTCTGTCTAAAAAAATACCTGCGTCTACACTGGATTGGAACTGCAAACGTGAGAGGCCTAACAAACAGGCTAAAAGTCATTCACTATCTTTTGATCTCTCACTCTTTTAATATTTAATGATCCCATTCAAAATGGAACAGCATTAGCAAGAGAGATTAAGAAGTCCCCTGTCTCCTTCCCATGCCATTGCCTGTTTTCAAGGCAGCAACTTGAGATAACGTGTCCCTTCAGGAAAACAGGTGGTTTGTGCCCATGTCTCTGACATGCTCGGTGAAAGGTCTGACTGTTTCACATTTCGATGAAGTGCTGCTGCCTCTGCTTTGGTGAAGGTGGGATTGCTTGCTCTGCTAGGCCAACAGCATCCGCAGGCGAGAGAGCAGGATCCTTAGCTTGTGAATCATCATTGTCAGGATCACAAATAGGTGTTAAATTGCTCGGTGCCATCAAGACTTTGGGTTTCTACTCACAAGATCAAAGATATGACTTAAAAACAGAAAACACCACAATTCACCATTACCTGGAAAAACACATTAGAGTAACAAAATGCATGTTACAGATTCAAACACGCTGTGCGACTGTGTGCTGATGCGGTACTGAGATTTTCAAGCATCCGGTTCAGACCGAGTGGGACTTAACCAACCTGATGTGGCAGGTGAATGGTCAGTCTCAGTGAAGACATCTTTGTTCGGAAGCTCAGGCAGGACTGCGTGCTGCCCTGCCCTGCCCTGGGGCTTGGGCATCTCCCTGGGGATGGTGACAGGCCAAAGCTGTGGTCCTGCAGGTAGAGCCGACTCAGCAGAGCCCATGGCCGGGCAGGGCTGCGGGGAGCTGGAGAAGGGCCCTGGTGTGGCATGGCTGGGACAGGGGCAGACATGGGGTCCGGTGCCCTGGGCAGGGTGGGGGAATCCCCAGGGGAGGCTGGGCAGGGAGAGTCGGGCTGGTGAGCACCCCCAGCACCCTGACACTGTGTCAGTGGAAGACACAGTGACACATTCAAAACCCGCCTGGACGCCATCCTGTGCAACCTGCTGTAGGTGACTCTGCTCTGGCAGGGGGGTTCGATTTCATGATCTCCAGAGGTCCCTTCCAACCCCAGCCATGCTGTGATTCTGTGAAACTACTTTCAACAGCCATATATTTTTGCTAAAGAGTATTTTATTTTGACGATGAACACACACAGAGTGTAATTCTGAATACCACCGTTTCTAAATTCCTTAACTTTAGTTTTCATGTAGTTATGTATAGAGAAGTCCTGGTTTTCAGGTAAGAAGAACTATTATCTTGGAGAAAAAAAAAAATATGTTTGGGAAAAGCAGAAATCAGTCACTCCTAGGAATGCCCACTAATTCAGCTAGATGATTATTATATTCCACAATCAGCCAGCCAGGGTTTATTATTCTTTTGAGACAATGGAAGATATAATTTGGTTTTGGAAGAGTTTCAACAATAGCTTTTCACTCCTGCGCACTGGCAGCTTGGATTGCACTGCGTTACCGGAGCGGAGTTCCCAGTTGTAAGGGGGGACGCCGGCTAAATGGTTTGCTGTGCTACATCTCCTGTGAGGTGAAATGCCACGGAGGCTGTGAGAGGCACAGCTGCCTTGGCATCTGCTCGCAGAGCCCACAGATCTGAAACAATGGACCAGAAACTGGCTGGCAATTTAAATATAATGGTCTGGCCATTACTGGTAATTAAAAATCCATTGGTGAGAGCTCAGAAGGTATGGGAAGCATGTGTAATGCACCACAGGTTTCCTTTCACCTGGGTGGGCAAGGATAGGCCTAGAAACGGGCGTACGTCTTTTTTCATGTGGACCTACTTCAAATTCTGTATGAAATCAATGGAAACATTCCCATTGACGTTAATGGACTTTGGATCAAATCCTAATTGCCACTATAAAACCTTTTTATTGATGCCATACGTTATTTGCCACGTATATATTTTTATAAAGTGGTTCTGAATGTACCATAGGGAATGTGCTCCTTAAAATGGATATGTTTTTTGAAACTCTAACAAGGGCAAGCCCTCTGACAGGAGAATTTAGTTTTACCTTATTTCTGAAGGAAGGCTTAAAGCGCTGTTTAATTTTGTAGGGAAAATACAGAGCTGTGCAAAAGTCTGTGGGTTTCTTTAGGGAGAACCTCACATAAGCATTTTCTTTATTCTTATTCATAACAGTTCATTCACTCAACTATGGCTTTGGTCTGAAACTCAAAATGCAAACCAAAAGTGACTAAGAAGCATCAAAGCTTGGGTGATCTGGTTTCATGTACTTTATGTAGTTTGGTCACCAAACCAGATCTATAGGCATGTTTGCTCAGAACAGTATCTATCTAGAGTAATTCAAAAGTTCATAAATGTCATAGTAAGGCTTTTTCTAAAAATGAGCTAAGTTTTAAACTTACACTGATACTCTAAATCAGCCTAGTTTCATGTGAGTTCAGATTTTGTTATGAGTGTCTTGGAGGAAGAGTGGTCTTTTCTGGTAAAACTTAGGATATAAAGTGAGGACAGCTCAGATGACTTGTGTAAGCTACACAAACTGAGTAGCTTTTCCTCAGTTTCCCTTTCACAAAATATACATAATATTCACATGGATATCAAAAAGCTCGGACCCCCTGATATTTGTATAAATTTATGAGTCCTTCAGGTTGAGGTGCAAAATATTAATATAACTCTTGAGAGCATTAGTGAATACTACAAAAGCTTTTCATTTCCACAGCATAGCTGTAAAGGTGAATTGTGATACCATTTTTCATTCCAGGAAAAGAAGGAAACATACATCTGAGATCTCAGATTGCAGCTGTATTCTTGGTAGCAACAATAACGTACAGTTTTAAAAATGATATGGGAAGACGGGGATCCTAAGTAAGCTACAAATGATTATTATCACAGTTTCAGACTAAGCTGTAACTTTCTGTTTGGTTGGGTTTTTTTATGGTCTTCTCCACAGGGAACTCTCCATAAACATATTGGCACCCAGTTAATGGCAGTTTAAAATTCAGTGGCTGAAGCAATTAATGCCCCCAACCCTGCTGTCTTCCAGAGGCATCTGCCCTGTGGCGGGGGTGGCTGAATGGCTCGTGAATCAGCTCCTGAACCTTACAGTTTAGCATAAACCAAAATCAATGTTGGTTTACCTTAATAGGCCAAGCTGTAAGCTGTGGTGGTTTAGAGCTGATTCATGAGCTGTTCAGCTCCCCCCTGTTAGGAGGCGGCAACCTCTGGGAGAAGTCTGGTAACCTCTGTGAGGATTCCTAGGAGAAGAGCAGCCAACACTTCAGTCCCTTCAGTTTAGTTTCCCACTATTTAACCCAAGCAGTAGATCTTTAGTTATCTTATTCTTTTAGGTGGGATCAAGATTAGGACCTGTGTTCCCTGCCGCTCATAGCAAAGAGTTATGGCTGCATGCCGCGATGTGTTATCCCAGGGGGGCTCAGTTTAGATCAGCATCTGGCCTTGAATCTCAGGGACAAAGATAGACTTAATCAACAACCAACCAACTTTACTATTTCCTGATGGAAAAAATTATTATGGAAAAAGATGTATTTCAAAAGCATAATCAGTCTGCAAACATGTTTTGCTTGCCAGATACTGCTCTTCTGCATGAGTGCCTGGCAGGTCCCATGTACAGGTCTGTCACCGTTGTCTGTACTGGATACCTCAGTGTTTCAGGTTAACTCTACTCCTGTTTTCTTTTTATTGCCAGTCTTTTGTATCTATCCAATAGTTTTTGAAATCTCTCTGTGTCCAAAGTTCACTTGTGTCAGAGTTTATTTTCTAAAGCCACATGCTACTGCAGAGCCTCATGATACCAAGAGCACACTGGGCAGGCACGTGCCTTAGCAAAACCTTCCTCTTCTTTTGCTTACTGTCTCTTTCAGATGTTCCAGGTACACAAAGCACCAGTTAGCCTGCTGTCTGCTTCAGAGGACTCTTCACATAGTTACGCCAGTAGCGAAGCCACAGCCCCATCTCACTCCCCTGTGCTTCCTTGCGATGCTTTGCACTTCGTTGCTTGAAGACAGGGATTGCTTTCGTAGCTGGCCTTCTGCAGCCACTGCGACTGTTACGGCAACTCTGTATGACACCTGCTTTCCACATGATATTGTTTTAAAAGGTTGTGAGCCAAGGCAAAATGTGTCTTTGCACGAGTAAACTATTTTATCCCTTCTATCCCTTCAGTGAACAGATGATAATGTATTATAAATTTGGCTTGTCTGTCAGCTTATGGCCATATTCATTTATTTATTTAGTAGCAAACAGATTTTAGCATCTGGAATGAAGTTCTCTTTCATTAACTACCTTGAGAAAAATGATGGAGCTGAGTATTTTAAGCTTTAAAGCCCCACAGAACTAAAGCAAAAAATAAAAAAAAGACCCCTACAGCAAGTGGAGAAGAGTTGTACTAGGGAGAAAAAAGCTATGGTGAGTAATAAAAGCATCTCATAGTCTAATTCACTTTGAATAAGCCTCCCATTGTCTTTTCACACATTTTTGTACCTTTGTCTTTGCTTTCATTTCACCTTTTTTTTTTGTCGCTTACTTTTACCTTCTACTTTTTTCCCATTTTTCTTTGAATAAGGCTTTTGTACCTGAACTGCTTGTTATTTTTCTCTCTCTCTTCTTCTCTCTCCTTTTCCAGCCACTCTGTTTTCCCCCAACATCTCTTTGCACACGTTCTTTTTCTTGACTTTGTCCCTGGATGATCTTCCCTCCCCCAATCCAATCTGTTGTGCATTTTTTTCCTTCCAGATGTGTAAGTAAGTGCCTCAGTCCCTCACTTAAACTGTAACTCACAGACCACTGGTTGATGATGAATTGGGAGGCTGTTAATCAGACAGAACTGTTCTCTTCCAGATATTGAGTATCTAGAATACCTTCAAAGACAAAGCACGTCAGATACCTATGTAGTATTATTTCCTGCATAACTGTAGATGTTCTAACGTCACAAGTGTACAGGTCTGTGCAGTTGTGAGTAAGAGCAGATATTTATGCTTCCTGCATGAACTCTGCTAAGATGCCATCCACACTAAAAATCAGAGTTCCTAAAAATCTGAGGCAGTAGTTGAAATTGCAGCCCTCTCTATACTGGGGCATATAATAATCTTGTGATATAGGGCCCCCCAGTCTCTCAAAAATATGGCATTTATGACTAGGCAATCTTCCTTTTTATCCTGAAGACCTCATGGTGGCATTGGTTCATACTTTTAACATATCTGGAAACCTGGATTCTAATATACAGTAGTAGCAGTCTCATTAATGACCGATTTCAGAAGTGGAAACATTACTAGATAAGCAGCAACTCCCAAAGATATTAGAAGTACTCTAAGGGGGAGAGTTTGATTAAAATAGGAATAGTACCATCAGAAGAGGATCTTTTGTAACTAATTGTAATATTGTGAGGTTGTATGGGTAATGGGCCTGACATAAACTATACATTAGATCTGAACTTATGTGGATCTGAAGGACCACAAGGTCCTGAAGAGCAAAGGTCACTAACTGCCTTACCTTTTCATTCCTTTCTTGGACACTGCCAAAGACAAGAAGAGTCTTAACTCTTAGGAGACTCTCTACTCCCATCAGTGTACTGGTCAGCAAACTGATCAGGTCACCAGTGTGAGAGCAATGAAAATAATAAGGACACTTGTCTCTTTGGGTCTTTTCCTCTACTGCTCTTTGAGCAATGCCTGTGTGTTCTGCAATGACCCAGGCTGTAATTTTACAGTTTAACACAAATGCTTTGGTCCAAGTGCTGTGCTGGGATGCTTTGATAATCAGTCTTACTAAGGAGGAAGACGTGAAATACTGAGAAGGAATTTCCTTTAACTTTGAGGCACAATAAAGTGATTTCTTAAAGTCAGTTTACATGCAGAACAAAACCAATCTGTTTGATTAAACACAAAACACCAACCATATTTCCAGAATCGGTGTTTTGAAGTATTCTTTAATTAAATTTCAGCAAGGCTCATAGAGTAAGCATAGGTCAAGAGGAGAATTGTTTGAACGAGCTAG